TAAACTTCAAATATACACAAAATAAGACTATGTATTATTTATGAATATGGGCGTGCGTAGACAATTGAAAACATAACGTAGGGATAATGGCAGTACCAAATTCAGGATGGTGGTTACCCCTGGCGAAAAGGGGGTTTGAAGCAGGGAGGACACAAAGGACTGAACTGCTACCTGTCATGTGCCAGTGTTGAGGAATAGGTTTGTTGTTTTTTTTTTTTTTAAGACTTATTGATTCATTGTGGCGGGGAGGGGGAACAGTGGGAGAAATCTCAAGCAGACTCCGTGCTGAGTGTGGAGCCTGATGCAGGCTCGACCTCATGACCCTGAGATCATGACCTAAGCTGAAATCAGGAGTCGGATGCTCAGACTGAGCCACCCCGGCGCCCCGTACAATATTAAGATCAGAGAACGGTGAGCGGAAGGTGCGCGGCTGCTCGTGTGATGCTCTCTAGGCTGCGTGTCTGAAATCGTCCTCACGCATACGCACACCGGTGGTGATGGTGCAGAGGTTGTCTGGGCCGAAGCAGGCCAGCTGCCTCGCTTCCCAGGAAGCCGTGGGGGCCTCGTCACCGTGGTGAATGTATCGTGGTCCAAGACTTGACCCTTAGCTTTGTAAACCCAGAAACTTTCGCTTTTTGCTTGTTTATTCGCTTTCCTTTGTTTTATTGTCGGCAAACCAAAGCTAGATTTGTCTCTCAGGGGCAGACTCCAACTGAATTCGTAGACTGAGTGAACCCAGAACACCAACTTAATAATTTATAAAGAGAAACACGTAGGACAGCACCCAGAACTCTGAAATCCCACGGCCTTGCCTGAGCCTGGTGGTGGTGTTTCCTCCCTGAGCCGGTCCACGGGAAGCAGAGACGCAGCTGGGGGTGGGTTGTGGGTGCACGGTGAGAAGTGTCCGCTGCAGAAACAAACATCCAAGTTTTCCGTGGCCAGCAGGTTTCCTCCGGCTCCGGACTCCAGCTTGTAATCAGAATCCAGGCTACGTGTTATGTTCAGGGTCGTGGGGTCTATAAATCCCCTTTTTGGGACTGGCCGGAAGTGCCCCGCGGGCTTTGCAGAGGGGCTGGGCAACTCTGAGCACCAGGAGACCAGACAATGCCTACATGGGCTTGACATGGTTGGAAACGTTGCTTTTTTATCTTTTAAGGTGTGTCTCTTCCATCCTAGAAACCAGTCTTTAGGCTAACATAGAGTCATGCTTAATTACTAATTTAATTACTAAATTAATTGCTATTCAGCCAACTTGCTCGGTATTTTCCTTACAAAATCTGAGTTGGACAGACATATCAGGGAGACAGAGCATGTTAACTCGGCGTTTCTTCTCTCCTGTCACCCTCTGTTTGGCCGCCATGCCCGTCTCACTAAGTGCGGCCTTGCTCTGTACCTTGTAGATGTCCTGGAACTCTCTTTCGTTTATTGAAGCCTCCTTCTCTGCCCCTTCCCTTCCATCCGCTGAGCTTTTCCTGCAGCCCTAGGAACCCTTCTTCCCCTGAGTGACCATGCTGTCCTCCCCCAGATCGCCCCGTGCGTTAGTCTGTCTCATGCCTGTCACACCGGCCTCAGCGGCAAGTCCCCAGAGAAGACTCCGTGCCAGCTGGCACGTGCTGATGGCAAGCACCGACTGTGCACAACCACCAGATGTGTCTTACACCCCTGAGTTAGAATTACAGTGGCCTTCTTTTTCATATGTTTTATTTTATTTTTCCGATAACCGTGCAAGATTATGAGAGTCATCTCCACAGGTGACACAGTCGGTAACCAAGGCTACCACAGGCCCTTTGCGGAAATACCGGGCCGGCCGAGATGGTGGTGAGCGGTGGCATGCTGGGGGGCAGGAGAGTAGAAAACACACATGATTCAACTCCTGCATTCCTAAACAGAGCCCCTAGCTTCCCGGTGCATTTGGGGGTGCATTTGAAGCAATGCCCGGGGTTCTTTGATCTCCTTTGTGTTCAATCCCAGATATAACCCCCACGTCAGAACAAGTCTGCCCCGGAGACAAATTCATTCTTCAGAAGGGCTCAGGAGCACGTGGGCATGGAGATCGGACATTTTCTCAATCTCCAGCCCCTCAAGAAAGAGTTCGGATATTGAGAGCTGTGTGGTCACAGAGAAATTTTAAAGCTAAAGACCTAAAAAAGAAAACCTCTGTGTCCAGTTTTTAAAGTCTGCATTTTACCGGCTAGGAAGTCACCCAAATGACCACTCTAGTACCAGACCCGTGGACACTCAGGCGACCTTGCATCCCCAGCATGTGACCCAGGGCCCTGTCGTGTGTCCCCGGGCACCCGAAGCTTCCAGCTCCCGTCGGCGGCAAACCCGTCCCACCCCGGGCTTGCAGGGAGCTGCGGTCCGTCCCCCGCTCCCTGGGAGAGCTCCAGCGTGAACGTCCCCGGCAGCCGAGTCCCCTGAGGAGCTGCTGTATGGGGCCTTGTTTCACTCGCTCTGCAGTCGTGAAGACGGCTTGGCACGGGTGGGAGTCTTTAAAGGCAAGATTTATTCCGTTTCTTTTTAAAGAAATTCTGCGCTCCCCCCTCCCCCTTCTCTTGGCTCCGCGTGAGGAGTTCGGATCTGAATCCATACGCGTCCGTACACGCATACCCTCGCAGCTCATGGGGTGTAAGATACTTCTCAGTCACTGCTCGTTATCCCTTTTGCCTTAAAAAACGGATGCCTCCTGGCTGCCAAGTCCTGGCGGAACTTGGTGCCTCATGAATATGCAGGGGAGTTTTCATCAAACGATGTGGAAGCAGCAGCCCTTTGTGATCTGGAAAAAACGTTCCCAGGGCCCCCCTGAGACTTCCCAGCGCTCGCAGAGCACGAGGCTTCCCATGGAGAAGAGGAAGCCGAGAGGGTAGGGCATGATTGGATCATGGAGTGGACGATGCCTCGAGGAGGAAAGGTGCTTCCCTGGTTTAGTCCCCCCATGGCCCCGGAGGCCTGTGCTCCGGGAGCTCGGGAGCCGGGGTGCACCTGGCCTGCGCCGCTCAGCGCTGCCCACTGGACTGCGTGGCCCCTCGCCGCGGAGGGCATCACTCTTCTCATGCATGACAGATTGCGTTGGGGGAAGGACCGCTGTCAGGAATGTGTTCACAGCTGAACCTTGCACACCCTCCCTTAATCCAACAATTGGCTAATTCTGAAAATGGAAAGAAAAGGAGTGACAGCAAAACTAGCCTATCTGTCTCCTTGTCATTAAAGACGCGGCTGCCGGGAGCCATAATGAGGTACCATATCAATTCCAGAATGCGTTTTTGTCCCCCTGACAGCAGTGACAGGTAGATGATGCGGTTTTTTCATGATTAATGACAGTCGGGCTATCCAGATAACCAGAATAAACAAAAGAGGTCCATCTTGTGATTCTGACCTAATTGCTTCTTAATTGCCCGGCTTTTCTTGCTTCTTTTGAGAATGTGCTCCTCTGAAGTCATTTTCCCAGTCAGGAGGGAAAACGAGTGTCTCATTTTCCTCTCAGATGTCCTCATTTGTGTGGAACTGCTGGCCATTGTCCGTGAGCTGCTCGCGCGGCCACTTTAGTCCCTAACTGCGTAAATGCTTTTAGCTGTGGCTGAGCCCCAAAGGTGACTTTTTAAAGAAATCTTTGCACTTTTCCCACCGATTTGCCATTGAAGATAGATGCCTTTAATTCTGGAAGCGGATCCCTCACAGCAGTGGTAAGCTGCGTTAAGAGCTAACAGGTAAAACAAGGTTTTCAAAGTGTCTTGGCACCATGGAAGGCTTCCAGCGGCCTCGGTGCCGGTGGCAGCGAGCTTCCCTGCGTGAGGGCAGGACCGCCTGGAGGTGCCAGAGGCCAGCATGGCCGGACCTCCTTGTGGGCGCCACAGACAGTTCCCGCCCTGCTGCAGGCTCACAGCAAAAATCTCTCACTCTTCCCACCCTGACTATGAAAACACTGAGAACGGTTTCCCTCGGGGCAAAGATGCTTGACGGTCTCCCCAGCCTTTTTTCCAAGCGGGTATCCTTGGTGCCACCATTTTGGAAACTCTCCAAATGCACTGAAACCCCAAGTTGATGGCTGCCCAGTGGTCCTGACAGGCAGTGAGCCCGCTGCAGAGTTACCACTCCGTGTCCGGCACCATCCCCTCCCCGCTGGCATGTTCTCATGGTCCATGGATCCCGCTTCAGAGGGTCCCCTAGGAAGGTCTCTGCTGAGATGGAGCCCCCTTCCTGGGTCATTCTGCCTCTGGTGTGGGATACTCTAGCGTCTTCAGCCTCCGGCTAGCAGAGTCCTGTTTTTCAAAAGTGCCATTCCATGCCCTCTCAGTCCTGTGTCTGTTTGTGGAGAACAGACTGGACAGGTGCCTTGCGTTGGTCTGCCCGTAGTTTCTCCCCAGCCCCCCCAGATCAGCTTTGTACAGAGGCAGTCCCGGGGTTCCTTCAGCTCCCTAAATGAAGGGTGAGAGCGGGCGGGCTCAGGAGCCCCCGCGCCCTCACCCTGCCCCAGCCTGGCAGGGTGACAGACGTGTGTCCCTGCTGCCTTGGTAGAGGGGTGGGAGGAGAACGGTCAGCGGGACAGAGGCAGGTTCCACACACAGCTTTGCCAAGAACCCCAGAAGCCCTGCGTGCTGCTGAAGAGACGAGAAAAGAACATCGACCCGCAGTTGGTTCCAGCCCTCAGAAATACCCACTGTGGGTTGTGAAAAGCACATCTCTGAGGTGTATCTGTATGTGAGAATAAATGGGACTTCACTGTTTTAAAACACGCTTTTTTTTTTTTTTTCAGCGTTAAAAGATGTTCTCAATATGTTACTTTCTGCCAAAATCATCTTTTAAAATGTAACTCCGGTTGTGTTTTCCTGTTTCCTTATGTCCATTGTCACTTCCTCTCAGAACAGGCCGGTCCCTCCTACGGATCACCAGTTCATCCAAATATGTCCGCCGTGGCCAGTTGGGCTGCCTGTGCTCCCCAGAACCTTCCCAAGGCCGGGCCCTGTTCTTCGTTCAGAGAATGGTCTTTGCTCTTCCCTCAGGTGTCAGCGGAAGCAGTGGCGGGTGGACCTGCCAGCCACCAGCGTGGTGATCACCTTCCACAATGAAGCCAGGTCGGCCTTGCTGAGGACCGTGGTCAGGTGAGGGCAGGAGACCCCCCCCCCACCCCCACCATTGCCTGCCTGCTGCTCCGTATGGGAGGCGTTCCCCGGGAGAGGTGCTGGACACGGCCCCACGTCCGGGCCAGAGCTGTCTGGGGTTGGGGGATGGGGGGAGACAGGCAGGTCACCTGACCGCAGCACAAGCAGTGGCCAGTGGCTTCTCCAGCCAAGGTCTGGGACCAGCATGTGAGAATTCCCCAGCCCAAATGATACCCCTTAAAGGCCTCCAATCTTTATCTTTGTTTCCTCAGTGTGCTTAAGAAAAGCCCACCCCACCTCATAAAAGAGATCATCTTGGTGGATGACTACAGCAATGACCGTAAGTACCAAGTCGGCTTCCTCCCCCACGCCCGGCCGGTTTCCCGGACGCCAGCTTCCCTTAGCGTGGCTGCTAGTGACGCGTTTCCCGAGACGGCCAGAGATCAGGGCCCGCAAAAGAAGGGGTGCCTCTTTGATGCCCCAGGAGATTCTCTGCCCACAGATGACCGAGATTCACGATACTTGAGTGCAAAGCCCTTGTAAATGGGGTACCAAATGTTCCACTTCTTTCTTTCCCTAGCTGAAGACGGGGCCCTCTTGGGGAAAATTGAGAAGGTACGGGTTCTCAGAAATGATCGGCGAGAAGGTAAGACTCTTTTCTTAATTCCATACCAAGACTGTTGAATTCTGACTTTTCCCGAACCCGGCAATGACTTAAAGAAATATTTCAGCTCGAAGAACAATTAACTTTCCAGTCTTGTTGTCTGTCTCTCTCAACCAGCGCCTCTTGGGAGCCTCTCCCGGCAAAGCCTAGGGAGGATGTTCAAAGCTTAATTGAAATTGTTTGTTTACTAGGGCAGGAGTTCAAATTACATTTTTATTTATGTATTTGGGAAATTGGCTCCTCTCTTCCTTTTACCATCGAGGAAGGCTTATCAGTTCCTGGAGTAGTAGAGTTGAGAAGAAAAACAAAGATTTAACAATGAGAAGTTTAAGGACTCCATGCTCCAGGCATCTAATAAAATAAGGGATTGGAGTTTGACAGCCCGCTGAAGGTGAGGCATCCTAAGGAGGAAGATAGCGCTGCAATTACATGCTTACTGGATTTTGCAAATGCCAGCTTCAAAGCCTGCTGTCAGTCTTATCTGCCAGAGTCGGGCTCATCAGTCGACTTTATTGGCAGTTATAAGAGAGACTCCAAAGGGGAAGTATTACTTGGAAGTGTCTGGAAAGGAGACTAAAATCGCAGTGTAATGACCATCCCGTACATCCGTGCTGTCGGAGGGCACGGCGGCTGGATTCTAGACTCCACCGTAGTCCGGAGACAGATGCTTCAAAACGTGCCATTCTGGTTATTTGAGAAGGACTCTGTTGATTCTGCAGTGGTGGTGCTTGCGATCCCTGATCGATATGCAGTCTTTCTTCTGGTCCCCTGGATAGTCCAGCAGTCAGTACGTCTTAGCCCGAATTTCATCCACGTTAAAGCGACTGAGCCTGTTAGGACCACGCCATCAGCACCATATTTTAACCAACTAAGGTCATCAGTCCAGATGTTCAGGTTACGTAAACAAGGGACCAGCTTGCTCTGAAGCCGGCTCCGTTTGCCGGACTCCCCATCCGTCTCCCAAAGCTTAGAATAAGCCAAAACCTTGAGATCAGACTGAAAGTCTTGCCTTACGTGTGCTTTCAGACAAACCGCGTCGTAACTTTTTTGAATTTAAGCCTGAAGTGTCTGGTAGCACGGGGAGAAAAGAAGAAGAAGAGGTGGAAAAGAGAGAAAGTATTTCTCGTGTGGGCATTTTATCCCTGACCGACACCGCTGGCCTCGTCAGGGCGAGCTGTTAGCCTCCGAAATGGGTCCTTCTCGGTGCTTTAACTCAGCATCTTCACGTGGGTGAGAGCCCGCATTGACACTTTGTTTCAGAACAGGGTGAGGAGGGGCCACCGGGGAAGCAGAGGGTGGGACACTGTTCGAAACAAGTGAGTGTGCGACGGTGAGCGAGAACACGCACACACACTAATGTCTACGTGTGCTTGGCTGCTCGTGTGTGCGTGCGTGTGTATCCCATATATTTGAACGTACAGACAGGTGCCTACGGTACTGCTGCTGGATGAGAGAGAAAATTGGTCGCATAAAATACTATGGCAGCGAAGGAACGGCTTAGCTTTATTCAGTGCCGAGGGTTGTAGTGACTCTTCGTCTCGCTGTTTATTAGAATCAGCTGAGGAACTTCAGAGACGACCTTGGCAGGACTCCTGTGCCAAAGTCTGCGTCCCTGGGGTAGTCACCACTGAAATCTCCTCCCTGCCCTCCAACGGTTCCCTTTCAGCCACTGCTTGGGGTCTCCCCTGTGCCTGAGGATCGGGCGGTCAACCGAGGATTTGTGGGGAGGTGCTCACCAGCCCGGGGGCTGCACTTCTTTCCGGGGTCTCCTCCTTCCGTTTCCGGCCACTCTGGAGACCCCGGACTCTGTCCTCTGACACCACAACCCGAAAAGGTGGTGTTGCGGTGGGTCATGGAGTAACCTTGCGGGAAACGCCACCGGCACGGGCCCTCCACTCCGCGTGATTCTCTCCTTCTAAGGGTTGAGCCCCGTCCAGTCTGACTGCTTCTGCCTGCTCTCTGGCCCTTTCCAGTGCGAGAAGCCTTCGTCTCTTTTCCCTCCCGTGGCTCGCAGCTCTGTAAGAACCATGGAAAACCCATTTTGACTACAATGTATGAAGCAACTGAAAACACTGGCCCACCCCCAGGGGATGCCAGAAACCACAGATCCTATGGGACCCTCTTTAGACTGTTTCTTCCTATGCGTACCTACCCCCAATGAGGTTTAAGTTCTACATCAGGCACCGTAAGAGACGAACAACAATAATGGTAAAATAAGACAGTCATAGCGGTATACTACAGAAAAGTTAGGTGAATGTGGTCCTTCTCAAAATACCTGATCCTACAGCACTCACCCTTCTCGTGCTGACGGGATGATAAAATGCCCATGTGATGAGGTGAAGTGACGTGAGTGACAGAGACCTAGTGACATAGTGTTGGGCTACAGCTGGCCTTCTAAGAAGACTTCAGAAGGAGGGTCATCTGCTTCCGGACTACGGTTGACCATGGATAACTGACACTGTGTTATCCACGCGGAACCACAGGCAAGGCAGGGGGGCCATCTGGGGCCCGGCATCCATGGCAAAAGCCACTGATGATGACCGCCCCTCCCGGTGACGCAGACAGCACTTGGGCTAAGACTTCGCATGATCGTAAAAACCCTGCGTTAGGCACAGGTCACAAGTATGTAAGTGGTATTAATTTGACTGATACGGAACCAATTTTGTGTAAAAGCCAGTCACCAGGGTTCGTCCCGGGTGTTGCTGGGCTGCGCGAAGTCTTAGGAAGACAAAGATATTTGCAGCGCTGTTCTCACTGCGTTACTGCCACCAACATCGGCCCCTTCAGCCCCTGGAAGTGTCTGAGTAACACCGTCCATGGCCCAGTGAATTATAAAACTCTGTGGCTGTGTCACAGGAAAGTAGTTGTAAAAGTCCCACACCCAAGTGGCTCGATGGAAGACAGCTCAGTTGCGTAAAGGCCTGTCTCCGAGGGCAGGCGTTCTGAGAAGGTCTTCTTCCCGGCCACCCAGTTCACTTCGGAGGGGGAAGTGCTGGCAGTTCTGTCCTGGTATTGATCCTCCCACCCCGGTTCACAGGGGCCCGCAAATCCCACGTTGGGTTTCCTGGCCGGGGGCTGGAGGACGCCGCGGCCTTTTTCTCAGATACCCTGACGCGCTTTTGAAATCCCTTCCGCAGGCCTGATGCGCTCGCGGGTCCGGGGGGCCGACGCGGCCCAGGCCAAGGTGCTGACGTTCCTGGACAGCCACTGCGAGTGCAACGAGCACTGGCTGGAGCCCCTCCTGGAGAGGGTGGCCGAGGTGAGGCGCGGGGCTTGCGCTGCGGTTTGCCTTGTTGCCAGAGAGGGGGAATGTCCGCGCTTGGGCATCTGCTCAAAGAGCGTTTTACTCACCATGCAAATCTGTGGCTGGGGAGGACAGCAACTGGCAGACGGGAGGCAAGGATCAGCAGAGTCTGATTCGTCTGACGCAGGCCTTTTCTTTCCCTTCGGAGGACCTTCCTCCCCGGCCTGCTGCTTTGTAGCCAACCCTCGGAGCTCAGACCAGCGCCGGGCCTCCAGCAAGTGCAAGCCGGGCGTTGGCTGCCTGAGAGCTGAGGGCCAGGGTACGCGTCTCCCGCCTGCTGCTTGCTGAGAAACCCAGCCTGCGGGCTTGTGGCGGGACGGGGGCCCACGACCACCCCGTTGACCCTTTGAGGCTGTCAGGGTGACCCGTGGCTTGCTCTGTGAACCTCTGTCTCCAGAAACATCGCCAGTGGCATTCCTTTTGGCCCATTGCCATGTCTCTTGCCTTTTACTTGTTCTGTTAACTTCCTTTCCTCCCGACTGAGAAAGTGTTTCTTTGGGGTGATGAAGCAAACTTAATGAAAGTACTAGAGAAATAGGAAATGCACAAGTCATGCCTTTTGCAAGTCAAGCGTGACGAGGACATAGCCGACGGATGGTAAGTCATGAGATACTAACTAGCCACCAGCTACTAGTAATTACGATGTGGCAGTAGTGTGGCTCTGTACACTCATAGTGACAGTGTGATATTCAGACCTCTTTACTAACCACACGTTAGACACGTTACCTCTTACCTGGGATCCGGCCGTTACCCCCATTTGACACAAGAGGGACTGAGGGTCCAGGGAACTTGAATAACACATCCAAAATTCTTACAGGAGGCAGAGCCAAGAAGGCAGAGCCGGTCCTAGCCCATCCCTCACTGAGCCCTCTGGCACGTCACACCCACCTAGCTGTAGGAGGAACCCCCTGGAAACCCCACTCTCCTGTAGCCCCCCACCCACCCTCTCCCAGGTCAGTCTTCACAGCACCAGGCTGTTCCCCCAGGTGGCAGAGGACACTGGGAAGCCACAGCCAAGATGCTAGCGTGTGCGGAGACCCCATGCCTCCACGGTGGGGGCCGCCGCAAGCCTTTCCAGTACCCTCTCCCCAAGTAAGGATGGAAAGAGTGGAAAATTATAAAGCTCACTAAGTCCCGTCCTATTAAAAGAAGTCAAAACAAAAGAAATGGATGTAAAAGCCAAGCACAGTGTGTTCTTCGACTCCCGTCCCTAGGCCCAGGCGGAGCCGAGCGAGAAAGATCGGACTGTCCGAGCTCAGGGCCCGCACGGGGGTTTCTACCCCGTAAACTTGCACCTGGGGTTGCTGAAACCTGACACTCGTCTTACATCTTCCTCTGACGTGTTCTGTTGCTAGCTCTGCGGATTCTGTTACTTGTTTGTTTCTCGCAGTCTTTTTTATGGTGAACACGGGTTCTGTAAGTGGCCCGAGGAAAGCATTTGCTCTTTTGTTAACCAGCCACGTGGGGCAGTGCCTCTCACCAGCATCAAGCATCTAATTATCTGATTTTTTTTTAAGATTTTATTTATTTATTTCACAAACAGAGATCACAAGTTAAACAGAGATCACAAGCAGGCAGAGAGGCAGGCAGAGAGAGAGGGGGAAGCAGGCTCCCTGCCGAGCAGAGAGCCCGACGCGGGGCTCGATCTCCGGATCCTGGGATCATGACCTGAGCCGAAGGCAGAGGCTTGAACCCACTGAGCCACCCAGGCGCCCCAAGCATCTGATTTTAAACAGGGCAGGAGAGTTGAAAGGCTGTATGTTCCCAGACCACCAGAGTAATGACTGTGGCAGAAAGAAATGCCTCCATCTAAGGGGGGAATATGTTTTGTTGGGTGGACTCACAGGTGAGATGTGCTTCGAATCTGGGATTCTTGAGTTCCTTGGGTTACCTTCGGCCGTAGCCACATCCATGCGCTTCCCACCACACGCATACAGACAGGTTCCCAGCATCGTTGCGTGGCTTCCTCCGCCGTGAGTCCTTTCCCAGCGTTGACCGCAGCTCACAGAATAGGATGCTTAAGGACAGCTGAGCTTAGATTCTGTCGGAAGGAGAGTAGCCCCGTGCTTGGAAGTTTGGGTGCTTGGGGAAGCAGAGGAGAATGCGGGGGACACACGGGGCCAGTCCTGGCCATCAGCTCAGGCAGCAAAGGCCAGAGGTGTCCCGTGGCCACAGCTGTCTGCCAGCAGGGAGCGATTCTCTCTGCTGCTCCCTGTTGACCTCGCTTGGCCCAGAACAGACCCCGTCTGTGATGGCGGAGGGTGGGGCACGTGGGATGGGGAGCCCCAGCGCCTCCGCCGGCCTGGAGTGGCAGGTGGCGGGAGGGGTGGCAGGTGTCCCTGATACTGCCGGACGCCGATGCCTGCCCCTGCTGGGGCGGGATGCTTTGTTTAGTGTGTGATACTGACTCCCCCTCTTTTGTTGATTTGCTTTTCAGGACAGGACGCGGGTAGTGTCCCCTATCATCGATGTCATTAATATGGACAACTTTCAGTACGTGGGGGCGTCTGCTGACTTGAAAGGCGGTAGGTGCCACTCCCGGTCCAGCCTGCCTTGCGCTGGCTATCCGCGCGACGGCTGATGACTGCTCCCGCTCAGGGTCACAGGTGACAGGGATGTCTGCGTGCTCACCTCCAGCGCGCGTGCCGCGAGCACAGGCAGTCTCCATGCCCGACAAGTAGACTTTCATAAAGAGAGAAAAATGGCCTTCTTTCCCTTAAAGAACTTCCTGCGCTTCCTGTTCTCCTCTCAACTCTTTGACCTTCTGTGGCTGTGATGACATGTGTGGCTTAGTACACAGTGTGGGTGTCATTTTTAATCCGAGAAGATTCAGTCTTCCCAAGTCGGACGCTGGGACGAGGTCGCCCGAGCTGACAGGTGGTCTGTGCTGAGCGTCACAGCGCTCAGGGTTTGCAGAGGGGAAGGGCTGGGCTCGCCTTTGCCTCCTCTCTGACCCCGGCGCCCCTGACAGCCTGCGTCTCCCTAGTGGCAAAGCCGGGTCAGCCGGGTCATCACCGGCTCCCGCCGACCGCCCCCACCAGTTCGTCACCGCTGCGCCTGGCTGGCTGTGGACGCCTCCTCCCCACCCTGCCGACCCCCCACATCCTGCTTCGAGGGCCACATCGGCTTCCTGTCGGTCCCCACAGCCTCCCGATGTGCTCCTTTACGCCCCCCAACCCAGGCCCCGTGAGTAGCTTGTCTCACACGCTCCACCTTCTCAAAAACCACCAGAGGCCCCAAAGAATGTCTGCTCACGTGGGCAGTACATGTCAGCACTTGCTGTATTAGGTAGTAAAGCCAAGAAATTGTTAAAACACAAGACGCTGCAAGTGCATGTCCTCATGTCCAGCAGAGAACCGACACCACACGTTCTGCAGCTTCTGGAAAACCCCATCATGTGCTTTTGAAGGCAGGGCATGAACAAGGCATGTGAGGTCTTAGTGTAAATATCAAAGCAGCTTTGGTGGGACAGACCCGCGAAGGGAGCAGCCTGGAGAAGCCCTGAGCTCATGCCGCGCTTTGTGGTGCTGAGAGGCACGCGGGGACCACACCGGCCCCCTCGAAGGAACTGGTCCCGTGGTGTCTGGCTCTTACGAGTTGTCCTTGTGTCCTTGGGGCTGGGGGGCTGACGGGGGCCCAGCGGTGAAGGCTCTGTGCTCTGAAACCCCACTGGTGGGCAGCCATGCCTCTCAGAACGTGGCCGAGAGCCAAGAGGGCGGCAAAGATGGCTCAGGACAGCTGAAAGAGATATCAAAGCCTTCGCCTTCTGTTGGTGTACTCTGTTCACTGTTGATTCCTTATACCTGAGATCCGTGGTTTCTTTCCTAGCCATCCAGCACCCCGGTTTCTTTATGTGAAACAAGGGGCTTCTTCTCCCACCTTCTAACACTTTGAGCTGATCACAGAAGGACAGACAGTAGTCGCACAGACACACAGACACAAGATCCATTGATAGTCTAGCATCAAAAATAGAAGACCATAAGACTATAAAACTAGGCATGACCTCAGAAAACAGAGTGCTGAGACAGGGAGACCCGGGGTTTTGACCCCACCTGCCATGTCACCGAGGGCTGGCCAGGTCACTTCCGGGCCTCAGCATGCCCATCCAAGCAGTAGGGGGATAGGAGCGCCGGCCACAGAGAGTAGTGGAGGGATGAGAGTGGCCAGCGTGAGGTCAGCGTACGTGAGCAGCTCCCCCATCCCGAGGCAGCAGAACAGGGTGGTCGTGGTTGGGGGACATGCCTTACATCAGGACCCATAACATTCAGAAAAGATTCTCGCAAATGTGAGAAGCTTTGGGGTTTTAAAGAGGACTGATCCCTAGTTATCAAGAAAGCAGTTTCAGAATGTTTTCTTCCCCTGAGGATTTACAAGAGCTGAGATTTGACAGCTCTCTTTTCCCATAGCAGCTGCTTATTTGAGAGCCGGTGCAGGGACATAGATGCCCTGGGGTGGTGGGGGGGAGGGGGAGGAGGGGGGCAGTGCAGTCCTCCTGCTGGGTGAAGAAGAGGAGGTACAAATTTACTCCAGGAGCATTTTCTCAAATCTCTTTAGGAAAAAGAATCAAGGATGATATTTTTAGCAGATCCTCAAAACCTAATAAAGTTTGTCTCTTTGGACCAAATTAATAGAATAACAATGATCATTCCAAAAGTGCAGATAACATTATGTCAGCAGGCCCACTGAGGCCTTTGCATTGTCCGTTCATAACACAGGCAGGACGCTTGTTGTTCCCTGGTTGAAGCGGGCCTTCTGCCTCAGGGAGAGCCGAGCTCTTCAGGAAAAGCCTGTGTGGGGCCTGCCTCAGTTTCCCCTCTGTGCTGCTGTCCCTGCCGCCCGGGCCCCCGGCGGCTCGCTGCCTCCTCGTTAGCCTGCTGCGCCTGGCAGTGACAGCTGGGAGACCTTTTTAGTCCCATGCCCTTGGGTGGCCGTAAAGGATCCTGTGTGGGCCCAGGAGACCTTCCAGCCCACGCCTCCCAGCCTGCCCTGTTCGGGGGCTGGCAGGGCAGAGGAGCGTCGACCTCGGAGCAAACGGGAGTCCAGACTTAGGCACTGCTCAAGTCCTGCCGACCAGCGGAAAGCCTGGCAGCACAGAGCTCAAGGTCAGACAGCCCTGGAGTAGTTAGGTTTGGCCGTCAGACCTTTGGAAATGCAGTGAGCCATCTGTTACCAAGAGTGGTCTCCTCGTGCGTCCCGAGAGCATCAACAGGTGGGGTGCACTGGCTCGATGCGGGTGCCTTCTGCATAAAGGCGTACCTGACAGCCTGGGCCAGGGGCCCGCGGATGTCGGGAACCACGTCCAGGAACCCGGCCTAGGCTCTGCCGCCCCGAGGGGCCTGTGGATTCAAAGGGTGAATGAGGGCAGCTGCCGTCTTAGAGATCACAGCCTGCTTCCCACTTTGCCACTTCCTTTGGCTCGTTTTCACCTAAAAGGGTCCCCTCTGCCACCTCGCCCCCTGTGGCAAAGTGGCAGTCAAGGGTCCTGAGGGGGCCGAGTTGGCTGCCCAGGGAACCTGTGCTCTCGTCCCTCCCCTGGGTACTTTCACGCGGGACAGGGTGGGAGGCATGGCGGCAGACTCAACTCTGTCCTGCCCGTTTGCTCCCTCCTCAGCAGCTCTCTGTTCCCTGTCAGAGAGATTCTCAGGCCTTTTATTGTAGAAAAGACTGACCCACATTTTCCGTTGGGGGTGAGCTTTTCGGGGAAGGAGTCGGTGTGCGCCCCCCCACCGCTGGTTCCCCCCTCTGCTGCTGCTTTAGCGTTGGTGCTTTTATTTGATTGTTTTGCTGTGTGTGGTTTGCAGTGAGTCCAGTCCAAGTATCAAATACATCTGAGCTGTCAGGGACAGAGCTGCCAGGAGCACACTCCGTTCTCATCAGCACCCTAACGTTTTGTTTCTTTTCCGGCAGGTTTTGACTGGAACTTGGTCTTCAAATGGGATTACATGACCCCAGAGCAGAGGAGATCCCGGCAGGGGAACCCTGTCGCCCCCATAAAGTAAGTGCCAGGCATCCCTCGGGGTGCCCCTTGCAGGTAGGCCCTGGCTCTGGCCCCGGGTTTCCTAGAGACGTGGTTAGGCTCTTCATCTTCCTGCCCGCCGGCGACACCGTTTCCCCTGTCCTGGCTCCAGGAAGAGTTTCTGCCACTGGGTCATAGACTAACGTACTTTGAGTTTTCCTCAGACGGAGCCCATAGATGAACTATACAAGGCGGATCTACAAGTTCTGGGCATTTCCTCATGTTTGTACGGTAGAGCGGTTTCCAGCAGGATGGGCTCTTCAAGTTGAAGTTGGGGACCAGGGAAAAGGGCAGGGCCAGGAGAGCGTGAGTCGCCCCTCTTGCCCTAACTGGTCCATTGCCTCCCTGGGCTACCTCTGCTCGCCTGCTGGCCCATCGAGGAGAGAGCTTAGAGCCATTAACAGCCGGCTTTCAGGTCCTCAGGCCATGTCCTGCTGAGGAATTCAGGCTGGGAGTCAGGAGTCAACCCTCTGTGGCTAGGCGTGAATGTGGGGTGTCTCTTCAGGCTAGACACACAGTTAAGTGGCAGCAGTGCCACAGACTTCTGCCACTGACTTCCAACACTGACTCAGGCACTGACTTCCGGCAGTGACCACGCACACTGGCCACGAGCACCAGCATCACAGTGTGCTCTAGACCACCAGCACTCGACATTGAGATCTCAGGGCATTTACGGGGATGGAAGTAGGGGCTCAGGTGACTCCCTCCCAGGCTGAGGAGACACAAAGGTGGTGGGTCCCAGTTGACAGGAGGAATGGGCTCCAGGATAAGGAGGAGGATGGCTGACATCGAGCATTTCCCAAGTGTGCTGAGAGCTCATGTGTATTGTTTTTGGTAATCCTCTAAGGAAACTGAGGCACAGAAAAGCCAAGTACCTGCTTATGGCCACTCGTCAGGGGGTGCCCCCAGCTCCAACAGTCACTCTCCCGGAGGGGACACTGTCCAGCCCCTTGCACTGTGGGAGTGTCCAAACAGGGCAGCGGGGAGGCATTAGAAGTCAGCAGTGGAAAAGCAGAGTGAGGGCATCCTGAGCTCTGAACGGGGAGCCAGGGCTGCACCGTGGTTTTTAAAAAATTAGCTTATAGAACTGACCTTGGCATTAAAATGCAGGAGCTCTAACCTTGACCTCTGGGCTGTCCCCCTCTTCCCTTCCGCCCTCTCTGCCTTTTCAGAACCCCTATGATTGCCGGCGGGCTCTTCGTGATGGACAAGCTCTACTTTGAGGAGCTCGGGAAGTACGACATGATGATGGACGTGTGGGGAGGAGAGAACCTGGGTACGTGAGAGCCTGGGTCAGTGCTTTCCCGTTCTGAGGAAACCAGGGCCTTTTCCTGCCCACCAAGAGCGTCGAAATGAAAAGTGGAAGCTTTGAAGAGGCTGTTAGGCCAGAGCTGGCGGTGTGCAGGGAGCCAGTTGGGAAAAAAAAAAACACAGAACTGTAAAGGCCTTAGTCACCTTTCCCTGCTCGGTATCAGCCCCCCAAACAAGTATAAATAGTATCCCTTCCACTATGGTGTCTGGGGCTGGGCGTTAAAGCTGTCGCCCTCAATTAGAGCACAGGATGCTAGAAGATGGGCACTGTCCTTGAAGGGAAGGGCAGACTCGTTAACATCCTCTGGATCCGAAGGTTCGGACAGCGAGCTTCCAAACACGGGGAAGCATTGCAGGCCGTGGGCTCTGTGTTGAGCCACGCGGGGTGGGAAGCCAGCCCGGGCCGGCCTCGTGGGGTAGACTGCACGGTGACGCTGGGAGGCCTGTGGCACCGAGAGGACATGGCATTTAAGCCCTTCTTGACTGTTTTGTGAGTGGTTCTAAATAGGTTGATTTTTTTTTCTTTTTCATTTTTAATAACCCATGCCCATCAGTTTTCCTTAGGTTTAGGGACGATGAAATTTTGTAGACTTCGGTCTACATTACTAGCCACGTCCTATTTATCGCGTTAAGATAAAAAGACTCTTCTTATTTTGTTCTATTGTTTGTTTAGGGTTTTCTGCCGGGGTTCTGAGCTGAGTCTCGCCAGCATCAGTGGCTGGGTGGGCGTGCCCTGGGAGAGAGTGGGGCAGGGACAAGGAGGGAAACATTATGTCACTGTCATTTTTAGTAATTCTACCTGTATCAGAAACTTGGATTTTTTTTGTTTAAAAGAAAAATCTAGACTAGCCTCTTATTTTTCTCTGTTTTATGATGTTAAAGTTGGTGATAACATCTCCGCTGTGGAAAATTTGTCTGCCGTGGTTTGATGTCGAAACCTTCTCTAGGCTCAGTAAGCACCCTGGGACAAAGAACCGTGCGTCAAACTCCTTTTGTTTTATTTAACGACACGTTGACAGGCAGGGAGGACTTGTATTAAAGTCGTTTGAGCATGAAAGGCTTCGGAAGAATTATTAACCTTCTGAGGAGAATTCTGAGTCACCCTTGCTCCACACACATCTCCCCATCCCCTGCGGAGGCCCGGCCAGCCAGGACCACCCAGTAGGACAGCACGTCACTTGGGTGACCATCTCGTGAGCTGCTGTGTGGTTTTCCAAAATGTGTGCTGTTAGCCGAAAGCATGGATTCAGCACATGAGGTGACGGCCAGCTTTGTGTCACGGTGATTAGTGTTGATTGAAGCATCAAAGGGGACATCTTAATCTTAATCATCTTAAATGACCTGGTTTGTTTGGTGGTGGTGGTGGTGGTGGTGGTGGTGGTTTGGTTTTATATTCATGCAGCTGTGCCATAAGAGAGGCTCCCCAGAAGGACTTGAGGGGACTGGGGTCAGGGTGGGGTGGGGCGGGGTGGGAGGGGCTGAAGCACCCCTGCCTGGGCCCCATCTCGTACCTTCCCTCCCCTTGCTTGGCTCGATAAAGCCGCTCCGCTCCCCACTGTCTTCAGAGGTCAAGCAGGCGCATGGGTTTCGGCAACAGGAGTCCCCGTCTGAGTCTTTCTTTCTGAAACCGCTCCGGCTTCATTCTCTGAGCTCCGGGTATACACCGGCGGTGTCCAGCCTGCGTGGCCTGCGCGGGCGTGAGTCAGGAGAGATGGAGTGCAGGGATGCGGGAGTGACATCCAAAACCTTCTCCTCCAAGCACACCCTCTGCCCCACCAAAAGGAAGCACTGCAGCTTCCGCTTTTCCAGCTGGTCAGACAGCCTCATGTAAACAGTTAAAAAGATGAAAAATCGGATCCCGAGCCCCTGGGAGACGCAGGGCTCAGGCTCCTTGGGCATGATTGTCCTCTGTGCGTGTCCCCACAGCTTTGGGATAGAGGCTGCTTTCGGCTTCTGGTATACCCGCTCATCTAATGCTTTCTTGGTTCTTTTTTTCTTTCTTTCTTTTTTTTTTTTTTTTTTGATTAGAGGATGGCTAACACACAGTATTACAGTTTCAGCAGTGTCGGGTGCACAGCATAGAGATTTCTGAGAACCCGTACACTTCCTTTCATGCTTTCTTGAAGGACCGAGGTCTTGCCTAAGATCCCAGAGCTGGTCATTAGCAAAGGCCAAGATACCTAATTCAGAATCTACCAAGTTCTCTTGAGGAGCCATTCCCTACGTTGTAGTGACCCCAAGTTCAAGTGAAATCAGAGCTGAACGTAGTCATCATGCGTGGTCTTCAAAATCCATCCCCCCCGGATCCCTGAGTGGACCCCCCTCCTTTCAGGGCTTCCCCCTACAGCAGCCACGGGACCTTCCTCCCCCCACCCCGATTTTGAATGTTCCGATTAGACAAACGTATGTTTAATTTCATGTCCTGAAATACAGAGAACTTCTTATTCAAACTGTTGTTGGACACGAAGAAAGAAAAGTCAGAAGCCCTTCATTGCAGATGCTGGGGTGGCCATGCCCCTGCGGTTCCTAAGGCTGCAAGGGGATTGGTTCCAGAAGGCCCGGAACAGCGGCCTGGGTCACTCGTTTCCAGCCACCAGGGTGTTTCCTCAACTTCAGCTGCACAGTCTGGGCACCTGCTGCCGCAGACGAGGTCTGGCCTAGAGGATTTCCCAAGCGCCTCACTCGGGGTCTGCTGTAGTCCCCTGACCCCTGACCCCTCCATACTTGCAGTAGTGACTGCTGGTTCTGTGGATTCCGTCTGGCCTCCTCACTGTGTTCTTGATGTCAAGGAAGTGCCCGTTTATACCAACCACGACGTCGGCTACGGCCAGTCGGATGGCTGGTGATTAGAACAGGTGCCTGGTCAGCAGATGCTGGGCTGTTCCAGACGCCAGCTGCGTGCCGAGCTTTGCCTGAGGACAGATGCTCAGGGCGGTGAGTGTGTTGGTGTCGGCCTGAGCATCGCCAGCCCTGGGCGTCTCCGTACTCCTGCGGGTGGCTTTTGTGTCCAGGCAGGCGAACCACTACTGACTGGCTGGGGAACTCCGTGGCCAGCTTTGAGGGATCTGTGACTAACTCAAGCGTCTTTGGTCACTGCTGTAGTCCAGGAGGCACCTGTGAACTCCACAGGTGACTGGAAGCCTGCTAATAATGCACAGTTATGGATAAGCATAAATTGTGACGCTTAAGGGAAGCGTTTTTTTCTCCCAGGTAGAGAAAGCCCAGGTGTGTGGTGGCTCTCAGTGCACGGAGAGGAAGTTTAGAGGAAGATGGCGTGTACGGTGGCCCACTGCAGTTACAATCAAAGCTTTACGGTGTGGCCATTTCATGCCTTTCGATGTTTATACACCTTCAGCAATGGCTTTTCTAACAGCGTTGATGCGAAGCAAGTGCCGATGTCAAACTCCGTGGCCACAAACCAGCTAGTGAAGGATTCAGTGCGAGCATTTTGTTGTTCGATACTGCGATTCTATACGGACATGTGTGGTCTGTGGCCAGGGTCCTTTATAATCAGAATAGACCAAAGATTCACATTTTTCTCAAGGTGACTCATGTGAATCTGAAAAACCGTTTCCACGTGCTCACTCTCTTTTGAACTTGGAATAGAATCGTTTAGTGGAAACATGGGATTTGGTAACATCGATCTCATTGACTTCCATAATTCAGATCTGTCCTAAAATCTACGATTGCGCGTGCCCCAGCATAGGTAATTTGTATATTTCTCTCCTTTTTGTCTACATCATTTCACATTTCTGTCAAACAACACCGTTGTGGAGACCCCCCTCCTGGTGAACCGAGTGTGAGCGTTCATTCGCTCTTTTTTGTCTCTCCAACTCCGTTGAGTTGACCGTTTGAAGTTGTGTACGTTTAAGGTCCACGACTTAATGACCTGACAGACATGTACTTTGTGAGATGCTCCCTAGAGCCAAGCTGATTCCCAGATCCGCTGCACCTACTTTCCGGAGTATGACACAGAGCCGGGAGCCTGGGGTGTGTCAGATGTCTGCACCATAGAAAGTTCCAGAGTGTGTTCTGGAGGGAGTCAGCTCCCTTATTCCCATCTCCTTCAGCCATTGAGGGCATGAGAGCCCTTCGATGGGACAGTGGCGGGCGGGTGGGCGTCGGTGCCCCATCTGGGGTGACAGCAGCCCGGGGTTCTGTCAGTCACCCTGTCTCATTCCTCCTCTCAGAGATTTCGTTCCGTGTGTGGCAGTGCGGTGGCAGCCTGGAGATCGTCCCCTGTAGTCGCGTGGGACACGTGTTCCGAAAGCAGCACCCCTACACTTTCCCAGGTGGCAGCGGCACAGTCTTCGCCCGGTAAGTGTCGTGACCAGGCCATCGGTGACCACCTCCCAGACACTTAACCTTGGGCTGCACAGAGACAGGTGTCCTCCACCGGGATGCCACACGCCACTGACCAGGGTCACCGGTACGCACAGCAACGTGCATGTCTCCCGAGGGCAGTGTGCTGAGAAGTCGCACCCTAGGACAGTCTCAGAGAGACACAGCCGCAGTGACTTAGGGTGATCGGGGCTGGGCTGGGGCGTGACTGCAGGGGGGCTGTCCGGGCTGCGGGTGCCGGGCCGTGTCCCGATGGGCAGTCACCGCTCCGATCTGTACACATGGGAAAGCTCACACAGCAGTGCACCCCCAAGAGCGTATGAGGAAACATGATCGTGGAGAAGACGAGCTTATTTTTTTTGTATGTATTGCCGTCCAAGGAATAACATGTGAACAGTGTGTAGGTTAAGCCGTACTGAATTCAAGCCAGAAAATCTACACAGCATGGAGATCGGATTTACGATAGATTCTAGATACGTCTCGGCAAGCACGAAGCTGCCAAGCAAAGAGCTTTCTGAAGAAAACGCGAATTACCAGTCGTGGGCCCACGGCTTTTTCTAGGGAATTCTCTTCATGCTCAAGATAGAACAGCGTATAAGCCAGCCCACCTGGCCTCTGGAGGTGGGAGCGGTCAGCCCGGGGTATGAGTAGCTGAATAAGATGATTGTAACCTCTGATACATGCCGTGAACCAGGTAAGATGTCCTGTGACTGAGCATGAGAGGGACAGGGACAGGTTTGCAGGGGGGCCCGCAGCCAGGGGACCCTCTGAGGAGGTGGCACTCCGTTCAGCCCCTGCAGGATGAGCAGGTCCCATGGCACTGAGGTCAACGGGACTTCAGAGCGGGAGGACCCCAGCGGGACTAGAGCCGAGAGAAGGAGGGAAAAGCAGTCAAGCTGCCGTGTGGGTCGTGGGAAACCGGATGTTGTTCTGAGGCCAGGGGAAGCTACTGGAGGCACCTGACCTTTGAGCAGGTACCTGAGTTCTCTGTTTTAAGCTTTAACGAGCGAGGTGACACCAGGAGGAAATGCTGGTGTGAGTGTCCCTCCCCTCCCCTGCTCTTCTAAGAGCTGTTGCGGTGGCCCAGGCCAAGGAGAGGTGGCCTGGACCCAGGGTGGGGGTAAAGGGGGAGCCAGGTCCCAGCCACCTTCCAGCAGGCAGCAATGACCGTGGCCTGGCAGTGGCCGGAGACCAAGAGCCAGGAATTAAGAGCGAGTCCATGACCTTCGGTCCTAGGACTTTGCTGACCTGCTGCTCCCACAAACTAGGAGCACTTGAGAGAGGGTGGAAGTGAGTTGGGGAGAACGACGAGCTTATCTGTTGTGTCATATTTTAAAACTTAGATTCCAGGTACAGATCGCACAGTACACACGTACCACAGCGCAGGTAGTTTCAGCGCGGAGGTTCCGCGTTCTCGAGACTTTAATGATGCCGAACAGAAGTTACCTCTGACCAAATCATCTTCTTGCAAATTCTGTCCTTTCTCAAATATTGTCTGACTTCGTTACTGTTCCTTATTAGAAACAAAAGTATGTTCTTATCCAGTGAGCTCTACAAAATCAAACTATGATTAGTTTTTTTTTCCCAAGGACAATGCAAGATTCCTGCAAAACCTCCTGTGTAGACACATCAAATACCCAAATCCCATTGGTCACTACTAACACATGGCGGGCTTTTAGAAAAGAATGTGTTAACGCGCACAGAACGTTGCTTTATTCACTTCTTTTTTAAAAAGCACTCTTCCTTAGATAGGAAGTGTCCTCACTGTGTTTTGTGGCCCAGGAGCCTGTCCGTACACTAGAGGCCTGGAGAGAAGACAGACCCAGCCTTTCTGTATTTGGGGCAGCAGAGATCTGCTGGCCTTCCATGAGGCTCCACGGCTCTCTGCCTCCAAGGACTCTGCTAAAAGATAAGGAGGTAGAATCATATTATTTCTGAGGTCTCCCTCCAGTTCCAAGTTCTCTCTGATGTCCTCTGATCTGTGGCATTAAGGTTGAAGTATTTCACCATTTAAAAATTGGGCTTCAGAAATAGCTAATATTCATATAGTATGTTGTGTGCGTCTGGCTGTTCTGAGTACCGAGCAGATATTAGCTCACATCATTCTCATAAAACCTTGTGAACTAAGTGCCATAAAGGAAACTGAGGCACAGGGAGATTCAGTCCCGCAGTCCAAGTTCACACAGGCGTAAAGTGCCAGAGCCGCGTGGTCACGTGGGCAGTCGGGCTCCAGATTCCAAGTCATCCCCACACGTTGAACTCTCTAGTCCAGACCTGCAGGAGCAGCGAGTGCCAAGGTCACTGGAACTTGTCCGTTAGGTACAGATAGAAATGGGCACCAGAACAGGGCATGGAGGCTGATCTCGTTTGTGTGGGTTAGTCAGTGAATAAGTGATGAATGAATGAATGGAGCAGGTAGCCCCAGTGGGGTCTTACAGGCGCTGTTTTACCATCCCAGCTGCGCATGTGGGCACCCACACTCAGCGGGGTAAGGTGATATGACACACCTGCAGATTCCTACTTCCAGTCCCCGGTGATAGTGGTCACATCCCGTAAGACCGGATGAGAGTGATCCCACTGGCGTGTTTCTCGCCGCATTTCCAGTTAGCGTCCCACAAGCCCCTTAAGAGACTGGAGGGCGCTGTGTGCGAGCTTGAACGCATGTGCTCAGTAGAGCCCCGCGGGGCGAGGGAAGGTCCCCGTCAGAAGGGTAACACGGCGGTGCGGTTGGTTTTAGGGTTAACCAAATACGTTTGGTTTTAGGGTTAGAGTTAATGGCCACACTCTATTAATATGATTGATATTAAACAGAGGAGACCAGTGTTTCGAGTTAGTTTCTTACCAGACTTTCTTTGGCTACCACCACCAAGCCGTAGAGCTGGCCCGTGCGAGCCACACCTTCTCTCTGCTGCCCGCTTCCTGGAGGAGCTGCTTTGCACTGAGTATGGGGGTGGGCGGAGGAAAGCACAAGTGAGGGGAACCAGGACACATCAAAGTGGACCCTTCTGGGGGCCCCTGTCGCCACACACCAAGAGGACTGTCGGGCATCTCGTAGGTACCGAAGAAACGTTTGAATGAATGAACTGAACCCAGCACCGAGCAGGGCACGGAGCTGACTCATTGAGGCTACGTACGGGTCTTTCTCTAGTAACTGGACAGAAAGATGGTGCTTCACATTTAGGAATTAAGAAATGACTTAATTACTCAATGACTTAGGAGATTAAGAACCACTGTGTAAGCAGAATTCACAAAAGCCACTGAAGCCATCAGGGCTAAAAGGGACCTCGGAGATGCGTGGATGCAGTTCTTTCATCTTACCCATGAGCAGTCCAGGTCCCAGAGCAATGAAGTCACACCGCGGGTTAGGGATGGGGCGTGAGGTGAGGCATGGGCCACTCCGTAAGCCCCCAGAATCCCGGTAAGAGTATTGATTGGCTCGGCTGAGAAATAACACGTATGCCCCAGCATCCCAGGCACATCGACTCTTTAAACACACGTGCTGTACGTGTGTATTTCTTACAGAGCAAGAGTGGAAAAGATCTCCCATCTCATTACCAAAGGGAGCCGTCTTATCATGGTGGACCCCTCTCTCCTCTCCCCTCCTCTCCCCTCCCCTCCTCTCCCCTCCCCTCTCTTCTCTTCTCCCCCTGCCCTCACAGACCTCCAGTGCCCTGGGCTGTCACCCCACAGCGGGTCAGGGACCTCGTTCCACAGCCACCCGTAGAATGTCCGCCGGTTTCCAGCGGCTCCGGTCATCCATTCCTTTGATCATGTTCCTGGCGATGGTCTTGGGTCTCTAAATTTTCTTTTCTTGCCTTTATAAACAATGCTGAAGTGAGCCTATCTTCAGCTGTATACTCTCCTGGAGGTGCGTTTCTAGAAGTGGGAAGTGCCGGATCAGAGGAGGGGGTGCGTTCCTTTGTGTTGTCCTGCCTGTCTCGTAAGTGGCGTTCTCAACAGTTCATCTCCCGCGCGAAGAGGAGAAAGGGCTATACCTCACGCTGTGTGAGAGTCGATGCCCCGAGTGGAAGTTATTTTAGTGACTGTAGCTCAGATCATTTTGAAAGGCTCGCCGTTTAAGAGACCTTTCTGGTAGAGGAAAGGAATTCTTTTCAAAGGTAAACATTGCCTCCCTAATATATTTCTTTTGGAAGAACATAATGTCTTCTATATGGGACCTTAAGGAAGCGTGAGTCTGCTTGGGAACCGAGTCCGGGACCTGGGAGCAGAGAGGCTCACTGTATGACGCTGCTTCATACGTGCCCTGAGGGGAGTGCGGGCCGGTCAGATCTGACGCCCACACTCGTGGGAGCCTTGCACACCGGCCCTATATGCAAACATAGCTTGTTCCAGTGGCCTTAATTGATCGTCATGGTTTTGAGCTATAAGTAGGTACGGTTCTGAGATTTAAGCACATGGTTCTCTTGCCTGGCAGAAAAGCCTGTTCCATCTCGGTCCCTCCAGCACGGTGTAGTTGGCAGGAGCCTCGGATGTGGGGCTTCAAGCTTTTTTCCCCTTCCCATCACCAGTCCTTGTCCAAACCGAACACTGTTTCAACTCAAGTCTGCAGGGGGAAGAGTCTTTTTAATAGTACTTACCTATTTTTACCTTTTCCCCAGAGCTGTCTAGTCACGTTGCAGCCATGATGAGGAGGGCCCCAGAGGCCAAGAATTCCTTGGCTGTCCTCCCCCATGCCAGCCGCCCATGCGTACATGATGCAGGTTCCCATGGTGACGCCCTGTGTCCTTCTTGCTGGTCCAGCCCGAGTCTTTTCCTCCCAGGACCTGCCTGTGCTGCAGGTCTCACTCTGCCTTTTGCTCTTTGACAATCTGTTTCTGTGAAAGACGAGAAGGCGAGTTCCGTTTGCTCAGTAAGCACCCGCTGCGTGCCCGCTACCCACCAGTCTGGGCCTGGGTGCCGAGCGGGGACAGCCTGCTCTCTGCGTCCCTGCCACCACTGCCCGCCCGCCTCGGGGGCCCTTCCCAAGTAGCCCTCGAAGCAGACAGGTGCACACAGAGTGACGCTGACAGAAAGAAGGCAAATCCCAGCTCAAGAATCCTTATTTTGTTTCTAGTAACACCCGCCGGGCAGCAGAGGTCTGGATGGATGAATACAAAAATTTCTATTACGCAGCAGTGCCTTCCGCCAGAAATGTTCCTTATGGAAAGTAAGTGTCACTTGAGCCCTCTCATGCCACTTTGCTCAGGATCCTGGCGGGGGGTGGGGGAGCCTATTCTCAGCCCGCACCCCACGAACCGTTCTGCTGCCAGAGGCGAGAACCGTCGCCCAGGCATCAGAGCAGGAGCCTCTGCTCAAGGCCAGGCGAGGGCCCAAGGCAGGAGGCATGTGGGAGGTGGGCCAGTGCCGCGGGGACAGGAGCGTGGACAGTCCAAGCTCCACTGCCTGCCTCCGTCCTCTTCCCATCAGCAGCTTTCCAGATATGATGTAAGGAGCTTGTCCATTCTCGAAATTGGTGAAGGAATCTTGTTTCCCTCTTTTCCAGTATTCAGAGCCGACTGGAGCTCAGAAAGAAACTTAGCTGCAAGCCTTTCAAGTGGTACCTGGAAAACGTCTACCCAGAGCTAAGGTAAGCTGTTAGGGATCAGGGCCTTGCTCCACAAGGGCTTAGGAGCCATGGATGTCGGAGAGGCAGGAGAGAGGCCGGGAGCTGGGGCTTCCAGCAAGAGCTGTGTGTCCTCACCCCGCAGCTGTCCCTAAGCACCCCTGAGAAGTGCTCCCCGAATGGCGGCCTCCTGCTGGGTGACCTTCCCGTTCTCCACAGAGGCGGAAACAGTCCCAGGTGGCACCTCGTTTAGCTCACGCCCTATTGGCGAGAGGACAAGGGCTGTTGTCTCACCCTCTCTGTAAGTGGCCCAAAGGGCAGTGCCCAGCCTCCCCCGGCTCCGGGCCCTCCCTGCGCAGCAGGTGCCTCTGCCCGGCCTCCCTGCGCTGGAGCCGAGGGCAGTGCTGACACGCACAGAGAACAGAGAATGAATCCGCTCCCCGCCCTCCCCGCTTCGCTCCTGCTGCCCAGATGCCAGGGCCCATCCTGTGGGCCCGTGAACAGAGGGCGGCACCCAGCAGAGCCCGGAGCCCAGACCCCCGCCTCCAGGCTGCGTCGGGCACTAACGCCGGGCCCCACTTCCCTCCAGGAGGCTTCCTGGTGGCAGAAGTGCTCTTCTGCGGCTTCTGTCTACACCCACGGCCTCCTCTTGTGCTAATGGCCACTCTGATCCCTCGGGGAGCCCTTGAGACCCTCCTCAGAGGCCTGTAGGTCTGCAGGTTTCAGGACCCATCAGAATGTCATCCTCGTAAAGGGATTGCCAGACGGGTTTTGCTTTAACGTGGCACATTCCTCCTTTCCCAGCAAGGGCGTGGCTCCCACGCAGCGGCAGCCGGAGTCACCACCGTTATCCTTCAGGCTAACAGCTCCCTCAGAGCCCTTGTCCCCGAGGTTTGTTTGAGCGTTCCCTAACGCGGCTGTGCCTCCCGGCCTCTCTTCACAGCCATCCAGCTGTCCCCCAGCAGAGGGGACAGCAGGCCTCCTCCTCCCTTGGGCCCCGTCTGTGACAGGGGGCTTGCTCTGGGGCCCGAGAGCAGGCTTGGTCACCCGCGGGCAGCCGCTGCTCGTTGTCTCTCGCCCAGCCCGCGCAGCACTTCCCACAGTGGCCTGCAGCCCCGTCGTGGGGACCACTGTGCTTTTGCCATCACGGTCGTCTGTGATGTGGTGGGTAGTGCTGCCAGCCAGAGTGACAGTAGGTGCAGCTTCGCCTTATGGACACCCCTGCTATGGGGTGCCAGGGGGCCTGTGCCACTTGTCCAGAACGCTGAGTCCCACACTGGCGGGGGAAGCTGACCCCCCAACCCACGCCCGGCAGCGGAGACACTGACCTGACATTCGTGTGCGTCTGTAGTGCGCACTGCCGCTCGCTGGGCGCCCCCCAACCCTGTGTCCCAGGCCCTGGGCTCCATGCGCTTGCAGTGAAATGTGTTACATGATACTTGGAACAGATCTGCTTCACAGGTGCTGTGCAGTAGGGTCCGAGGTTTGGGGGGACAGCGAGAGATGGCACAGCGGGTGTGGGGCCCAGGCTGAGCACAGACCCGGGTGGAATCCTGAGGCATGTGGCCCCTGCCCACACGTGCCGTTTCTGTTGGTGGCAGGCTGCCGGACACAGCCACGCGGCTTCTCCCCTCCGCCAGGTAAAGGTCAGTTCCCAAGTCTGCCGGAAAGCCCAAGGCCGTGGGGTCTCACCTCGTGAATTACTTTTCTGAAGAAATTCCAACAGGCTAACAGTGAGGAGTAGAGCTTTTCCTTTCCAGAAACGTTTTCCTGGTACGGAAAGAATGCTTCTCCAGCTTGAAGTCTTCACTCCGGTTAGAAATCCAGGGCATTCGAGAAATGCTGCCCGGCTGACACAGCCCGCCTATGGGAGGGGTTCCTCTCCTCTCAGGGTTCCTGCTGCCGGAGATGGACTCACTGAGTAAGGGGGTGGACGGTGGGAGCCGGGGGGCCTGTGGAATTAAGCAGATGGTTCTCCTCTTGCTTTCCAGGGTCCCTGACCACCAGGATATAGCTTTTGGGGCCTTGCAGCAGGGAACCAACTGCCTAGACACTTTGGGACATTTTGCTGATGGTGTCGTTGGAGTCTATGAGTGTCACAATGCAGGGGGGAACCAGGTATGTGTGGGGGGTGGGCTGGAGTCCCTGCAGGGAAGGGGCCCTGAGCTTGCAAGTCCTTGCTGCTGCCTTTCTCCTGTGACCCAAGGTGTCTGAGGTAGCATGTGGCCCTGCTGGTCACCCGCAGGCAGGCAGCCATAGGCTCGAGGTGGGATGCCCCAGATCTTGACAGATGCGTGGAGCCTGCCATCAGCCTCGGGCCAGCCTCTGCCACCACAGCAAGGGACACTGTGGTTACCACCGATATCCAGCATCTCTCATCAAGGCAGGCCTGCAAGGCTGGTGGCCTTCCTTCTCCTCCTCATCTTCCCACCACCTCTGTCATCCCTGTGGCATGTGCTTGTCCCCAAAGCACCTGTTCTGTGTCTCCATCTGTGTCTGGTCTCCGACCAGCTCATAAACACCTGCTCGGGTCCCAGTTTTAATAGGCTCGGACCCTGCGGCTGCTGCCAAAGTCATTATCGGCCCCTGCCTGTTAGATAACACGGGCTTAGATAGAGAATATTAACAATTACTAGCTTCAGTCTGACGCACACACACAACTTGTCCTGGATGCATAAAGCCCCACACCTTCTGTCCTCACTGAAAACAAGACAGAGAAGTGAAGGCCTGTTGGGCCTAACCATGGCCTATATGTGCCAGAAGACAATGTTCTAGAATAGCAATTTTCCCATAAAAAAATGATAGGTATTTGGTAAAATGTGGGCTTTGTGCCCAGAAGAGTCTGGGTCATGCTAGGTATTCTTATCTCCTTGAAAACGTGCCAAGCTCTCCGAGGACCTACAGTTTAAATGGGGCCATTGCGGGGTGGGGGGGTTAACTAAATGTATCCCAGATTTACTGATCACAGAACCTCCTTTATTTTTTTTTTAAAGATTTTATTTATTTTTTTTGACAGAGATCACAAGTAGGCAGAGAGGCAGGCAGAGACAGAGGGGGAAGCAGGCTCCCTGCTGAGCAGAGAGCCCAACGTGGAGCTCGATCCCAGGACCCTGAGATCATGACCTGAGCCGAAAGCAGAGGCTTAACCGACTGAGCCACCCAGGCGCCCACAGAACCTCCTTTAAATAGAACTCTCTTTAAGAGAGGGCACCTGCTTTTACATAAAGTTGGTTGTTCCGAATCCCCCCAGGGAGTATCTGGGTGGACTGCGACCCCTAGATGTTTCGTCCCCTCTCTTCACTTGGTGATGTCATCTTTAACAGTTGTTTGGACCAGTCTGGACATCCTCAGTTAGACAAGGGAGGGAGAGGCGGCTTCAGGCAGCGGCCAGGGCTGGCCCAGCGCAGACGTGCTGCTCCCGGGCTCCCAGGGTCTCACCTCTGTCCTCAGAGCCCGGCCTCTCGGTCCTGCAAGTGCTCCCCGGGGACAGGCTGTGAGCTTGGAGTAAGCCCCCAGCCAGCCTCGGGGTGCAGCCTGGTTTGTGGATTTTGAGTATTTCAAAACGTTAGGAGGTGTTAGGAGTCGGCTAGAAGGAAAAGGTCTAAGGAGGGAGGAAGACGGAGAGTAGGAGGGAAGACCCAAGTCAGGCCAAGTTTGTTGGGTGGGGACAGGAGGGACAGAGGATGCCGTGCCTGCCAAGAGTGTCTCTGCATGTCCTTGTCAGGCCTTTGGTCTGAAACTCACCGTGGTTCCGCTTTCTGCTGGGGACCACGTGGCTCCGGGTCCCACTGATGGACACGGCGGTGGCACATGGCGCAGGTCTGCCTGCCGGAAGCCGTGCAGGGACGCAGCGCGAGGAGGTCTGGGGCTTCGGTATGAGGGGGGAGGCTGAGGGCGCCGGGAGACGCGGGGTTTTATCTGTCTCTGGCCAAGCCGGAATGAAAATACTGAAGTGCTGCCTTCCAAAAAGGGAAGCTTTGGGCGGCCGGAAACACAGTGGATCCAATGAGTCTCCGGAAGCAGGGCCGTGCTCCTGGGCCTGCTAAGCCCCGGGGTGCTTCTGGTCCTCGTGGCCGAAATTCAGAATTTGGCTAATGCACCGGTCTGCGTGTTAGGATTCAGAGGCGGCGCGGCCCCGCGTTACCTGCCGTCTGAATTGTTACACTTGGTCCCATCCCAGGCTGGCCTCACCCTTCCCCCGTTTAGTCACCGGGGTTTCCCCTCGGTCACGTGTGCAACATTCTGATGATTCAGTGACCGTTACGGGGTCCGCCCTTATATTATAGCAGCTCTGACCAGTGCCAACTCCGTGCATTTGGAAGGTATGTACGGCGGCCGATAGTGAGGGATTTCCTGCTGCCCCCTCCCTGCCCTCCCCGGGCTCAGGCGCCAGCTTCGGTCCTGGGTGCCGTGCGTGGCTCTTGCCCACGTGGCATGGCCTCGGGGATGGATGGTACCTTTTACCCCGCGGCTGGTAACAAAAACTGCCATGGTCAGCGTGGTCACCCCCACCTATGATGGCTGGTGGCCGTGCCTCTGGATCCCCAGATCCTGTCTGCCAGCTGGTCTCTGAGCCCACGAGCCCCTCTCTGCAAGCCCATGGGGAGGCTGACCGACCTGCCGGGCGCATTGCTCCCTCATGCCCGTCCCCCGCGCAGTTTTGCATAGCTCCCCCTTTTCCTCTCACAGCTGTCCTGGTTAGAGCCCCCTTGTTCATAGGCACGGGAGCTCATGGATGATGCGCTGCCCTCAGGAAGCCATTTGTGGGGGAGGAGGAGATTGGGACGATGCAGGAGGCCACCTAGAGGCTGCTGCTCCCGCCTGTGTGCGCAGGCGACTGTGCTGGGCCATGGCCACACCCAGACTTGGGTTGTCACAGTGCTGTGCCTGGGGCTGTCGGGAAGGGCAGACAGCATGGCCTGTGCAGAGCACTCGGTTCCCTCTTTTTTCCCTTTCACTCTTGTGAGACGGTTGCTGCTCCCACACTGGGCCGGAGCTTTCCCTCCCTGCCAGGGATGTCTGCGGAGTCCCTCCTGGGCCAGCTGCGGGGCGCTCAGGGGTCCAGGACAGGAGCACCTGGTCTTGCCTGTCCAGGGAGCAGGTTTCTACCATCTCTGAGCCCGCCTCCCGTGGTTTTTTGCTGGAATCACCCCAAGAGCTTTCTGGAAATTCTGATGTGAGGTCCCCTGTCCAGAGAGCCTGATTTCATTGGCCTGGAGTCCCAGAGCATTGGGGTTTGTGAAATCTCAAGGCGGGTGATTCTGAACGAGCCACTACACCATGAGGGTTTTCTAGCGGGGCAGGGGGGGCACACCGGTGGGCGACAGGCTTCACCCACACCTGGGGCCCACCTTCCTCCGCAGACCGGCCTGAGGCCCAGAGAGTGGCCTAGGCCAGCTCCACCAGCCTTGCTCTGTCTGCTGAGAATGTCCTCCGTCTGCACCACCCAGTGCGGTTCTCATGGACCCCGTGTGGCCGCAGAGCACTCAGAATGTAGCCGGTGTGACTGAGGAGGTCAGGTGTTCAGCCATTTGGCTCAGCCAAGGTGGGCAGTGGCCACCACATCGGACAGCATGGGTCACAGGCGGCAGGAAGCCTGGGCTCAGGCTTGCTGCTCACAGGTGTGCCGACGCGTAACCCTCCCGTGAGTAATTCCCGTCTGTACCGATGGAAAGCGATGCTTTTTTGAGTGCTGTGCCACCTGGGTGAGAAATGAGAGGCTAAGTGGCGTTTCCTAACTGTAGACACCGTCCTTCTTATCTGGTTTCTGGCGGATCCTCAGCAGACACCCAGGAAATGGGGAAATTAATGGCCGTGCTTTTTTAAGAGTGGCAGCTCAAAAAAGCAATTCTTAAATATTTATGAACTTTATTTTACAAATTCAGATCATTGAAATGCAACAGAAGAACAAAGTGGCAGCCAGCTCTGTTGTTTGCACAGCTGAATTAGTTTTCCTGGAATTCAGTGTAGTCTGCTGTAAAATAATTAAACGCACAATAGCAAGAAGGTTGTAGAAACATTTGTACGTGAGCTTTCCCTGAGTATCTGCAACCCTTCCAGTGTCTTTTCGACACCTGCTTCCAAGAAGCATCTAGAAGCTTACCCACGAGTGGGGGCGGGTTGGTGCCGGTACCGGTACTTCACGCGAGCCCTGCTGGAGGCACGATGCGTATCTTAGTGAATGAAAGGCGGGGCTCGCGCGCTCCTTCCTGGGGGGGCTTCGAATGCCACCCTGGGATACAGGTGACACTTGAGTGCCCGTTGGTACCTCGGAGGCACTGGCCGTGGGGGGGACGGCCTTACGGTAGGTTGGAATCGACCCTCAAGGGCGGCGTGGGGCCCTTCCCAGAGAATGCTCTGCGGAGCTCACTGCCAGGGGCCGACGGGGACAGGTGGGGACAGGGCTTCATGCTCTCGAGTCTGGGAGATGCTGAGGAAAACGGTGCAAGCAGGTTCTTCCGTGCTCAGCCTTCCAGGGCCTCAGAGAGCCCGTGTGTGACTTTGCAGAAAGACACGTGGCCCAAACTCACCGTTCCCCAAACTTACTTGACCTGAAACAGACTTCTCACAGAATCCCTCCCAGAGCACACTTTGGGAAACACTCATTAAAAGGTGAGAACACTGAAGCCAAAGAAAAGGAGGGGGCCCAGTCCCCGTCTGCCTCCCTGCTAGGAGAGGAGGAAGCTGCCAGCAGCCCAGGGGGCTTCTCAGGAGCCCAGACGGGCAGCCTGTCTCGGGCAGACCATCTGTTCCAAGGTGACCGAGGTACTGAACGGTGAGGCTTCTTTAAAAGGTAATTTATTCCCTCCCTTACCTCTGTCCCCTGGGAATAGAAAAAAGAAAGAAAAATAATTTCTTCATCGCATTTAATAGCGTCTCAAGTTACACAGTACATTTATCCTTGGGTGAGCCATTCTCCCCGCTGGAGAGCCAGCCCCGGAAGGTCGGGGCCTTGCCTGTCTGTTCACGGCCATGGGCCAGGCCCTGGGAGGGCACCTGAGGCATCTTGGGGCGCCATGGACCGTCACGGGAAGGATGGCTGAGTCATGGCAGCTTTCCTGGGCGGAGAGCAGAAAGGCATACGCTGGTAGGGAGTGTGTCCCGGTGGAATTCTGGGTTGGAAGTTGCCTGGCTGCTTCTGGATCCTGAAGGCTCACTTGGGAATTGACCCCTTTGAAAGGGTCAGGTCCTAGAGTGAAGGTTGGAAGCTGTCTCCTCCCGTCCCACCCGTGGCCCCTCCGAGAACCTTCTGCCTGGGGCCTCGTGCTCCCTCACCCATCTTCTCCATTTTCCCCTGTCCTGTCCTTTTAGAGTGTCTTATAAATGGTTGTGCTCTCAGCCCCTAGTATGTGTGTGTGTGTGTGTGTGTGTGTGTGTGTGTGTTGTAAAAATCATAAGCAAGTTATTTTAGCACTCTCTGGCTCAGTTTTCCATCTCTAAGACGGGGTAATATCAGCTTCTCGTGGGGCATAACGGTGCCCAGCACACAGTAGATGCCTGGTGTTAGCACGAGGGGTGTGTGTGTAAATACCCAGATCCGTCCCTAGGGAGCTCAGGCCTTGGGGGGTGTCAGCAAACCAGCTCACTGCGCAGCGAGGCCGCACGCTGCATATTTCGCTACACGCTCCATGTGTAATTTCCATCATCACACATTACAATCCACATTCATAAAGGCTGTTTCCAAGCTGCACTGCACGGGGGCAGAGTCCAAAATGACGCAGGCGGAAACGTCGACCCTGACCCGTCCGCCTTGGGGGATCCACGCGCGGGCCACTGTGTCCCCAGCTCCTGGTTCGTGGTAGAGCCCTGGGTGTGGCGCTCAGATGCGCGCCCCAGGCTGAAACCGTTCATACCGTATCTCAGTGACTCGTGTTCTCAGAGCGCTTTTGCCACGTCAGTCGGTGAACTTGGCGCAGCCCTGGGCGGCCCCCTTCCCGCGCCCCCCCTCCGCCGCCCTGGCACCTCCAGGTGGAGATCTGCCCTTCGGCAAGAAGTCACGTGTCAGCCCGGAGTCGGCTGGGGGGCTCGGGGTCTCTGCTCGGCGACACAACCCTGTCCCTCTCGAGCCCCGTCACGCCACGGCCCTGACCCCCGGCTCTGTGTTCCAGGAATGGGCCTTGACGAAGGAGAAGTCGGTGAAACACATGGACTTGTGCCTGACGGTGGTGGACCGGGCGCCGGGCTCTGTCGTCAAGCTGCAGGGCTGTCGAGAGAACGACACCAGACAGGTAGGGCGCCCCTGCCCCTCAGCCCAGCCTTCCCGCGCCCCCTGTGGCCTCGACCACCCCGCTCCTTTGTCCCGTCGGGCTGCCCTGTCGGACCTCGGCTCCGGCCGGCCGCCGTCTCCCACCAAGCTGGGGAGCTCCTGGCTGGCGGCAGGTGTCCGTGAACCCCGTGCCTGGCAAACGTGGGGTCGGGATGCTCGTGCTGCGTGCGGGCTGTGCATGCTCGGAAGGCCGCCTGGCCTCCCGTGCGCACCGGCCGGGGCAGCGTGCCTCCTGTCCTCTGTCCTCGGCGCCCCGTGGGCGGCTCCACCGTGAGTGCCCACATCCCGGGGTATGTCTTCCCATAACTTATTTTCTTCAAACATTCATTCACTTTTGTTAGAGAGAGAAAGAGAGCAGGGGGAGGGGCAGAGGCAGACGGAGACTGGCAAACAGACTCCCTGCCCAGCGTGCAGCCCGACACGGGGCTCAATCCCATGACCCCAAGATCATGACCCAAGCCGAAATCAAGGAGTCGGAGGTCCAGCTGGCCACCCCCTTCCACAGCTTCTTGATTGATCTGCCTCTGTCTGTGCCTCACCCTCCAGCAAAACTGGAGGGGAAGGGGCCACATTTGTATGTTCGGCTCCTACGAGGGTCTGGAAGCACCTTCACTAGGTAGGGGCCCCAGCGCCTCCAGGTCAGTTCCTCCTCCCTGCGCCGTGCAGGTAAGCGGAGCCGCTGGTCCCTTTTCCAGTCCTTCTTTGTAGCAGCCCCTCGTACGTGCGTGTCCTGAGAGTGTGTGTCTGGTGGTGCTGGCGAACACGGGAGAGAGGCGGGTGGCAGTGCGTGTGATGGTCTGAGCGCTGGCCATGACCACGGGAAGCCCACCAAGTTCTGCCTCCTCACACCCCTGGGGAGCGGAGGCGCAGACTTCAGGCCCGGGAGCAGGGAGGCTCCGCCGGCTCGTGGCTTCTCCACAGAAGCAGAAGCACAAGGAGCCACGCAAGTGCGTGGGCTTTGGGGGGGTGGGAGGGACTACGGCAGGTGGGGACCTCAGCCCAGACGCAGAACCGCCGAGAAGTTAGCACAGCACTGACCTACAAGTAAGTACTAGAAAAGAAAGCAAGGTTCATCACCATGTCACCAAAGGGAGGTGTTTTCATTCTGTTTCACTCCGTGTGCTAATGAACCCACGGCCCCAAAGGAAAGACCTAGCATCACACCTCTCTCTCGTAAGCCACCAGTCGGATGTTGCTTGCTTCTGATGACATTCTCGTTCTTTCCACTCTACCGGGTATTTCAAAGAAAAATTGCCTGTTCTTATTCATTAAATATTTCTGCTTTTTAAATTTGCAAAAATGCTAAACGAGGAAGTTCAAGTGGGTGAGACCTCATACACATACACACACTCTCTTTCCTGAGTGTCTGCGTATTTATGCCATCGTGGGGAGCACTGGCTTGTCTCCGTATGGTCCCTTTTAATGAAATAGATGGATGTAGAGAAATGGAGGCACAGAGCCAACCACAGCTCGGAGCCTGAGTGGGCTTCTTGTCCGAGACATTTTACTGAAGGAGAGGTGGAGACCCACGGAGTCAGCATCTCCTCTCCCGTGTCACCTGGGAGGACGAAGGCCGGGACCAGGTCCCTGGCTTCGATCCCAGCTGTCAGGGAAATACTTGCATCTGTCCATCCGGGGTCTGTCCCCGGCTCTGTGGAACCCCAGCCTGGCTTCTGATGGATGCTTGAACCCCTACAGGAGTTCAGTAGGAGCTCACCTTATTTCCAGAGCAGACAGATGTTCCTGGTGCGATCCTGGTTCTTGGGAAGCATAGGGCGCCGCGGAGAGGCTCACACCAGGAGAAGGGAATGTCCTGCAGGCAGCTCTTCTGACCCCGAGACCTCACCGGGTGCGGAGCCCTGTGGCCCTGTTCCAGCAGGGCCTGGAGGGCCCAAAAATCCGACCCCTGATTAGAGACAGAGCTGGAGTTTGATTATTTTTTTTTTAAAGACCTTCCATTTAGCTGAGGCTTTGGCACCTGACAGGCAGAGCCCCTCCAGAGAAGGGAATCAGATTCCATTCATTCCACATTCTTTGTCAAGCCTGATTCCTGGCCACTCAGAGCAGCACAGGGCTGTCTCCGCCGCAGACACACTTTACCTGACAACGCGGAAGCCCGGTGAGGACTGACTGACAGCCAGGGAGCCAGAAAGGAGGGATGATGGGCAGGCAGCCGTGGCCTCCCCGTGCTCAGCTGATGGCACTGAATTTCACTGTTGGCAGAAGCTCTGGGTTCACGGCAGCCTGAGTGAGTATCACGGGGCCCTCGTGAGAACATCCCAGCGTCCTGTTCTCCTCGCGCAGAAGGCCGGTTCTCGGGGTGCCAGGTTCCTCTCTGCCTGCCCTGCCTCCTTCCCCCCACCCACTTGCCCTCTGAGAGGAGGCCCCTCAGCTAATTTTATCTCGAAGCCGCACCTTCTTGCCAGCTGGACTGTTTGGTTTCCAGGCACGTCTGTGTGTTTGTGTTGTGTGTGCCTTTGCCGAATCAGGGGAAGGGGAGGCAGGAGGAGGCGAATTCAATTCCGTGGTGTCAAAAGGATTTGCAGAAATACTTACGGAAAGGAGCTTGAGTGCGCACAGTGTAAAAAATTAATTAGAATCACAGACTCTATTAATGAAGGGAGAGCTTTGGAGAGAAAAAACTGTGATCATTTTTTTTTCTTTTAAAGAACAAACAGACTTTTACATGGGGTAAACAGCAGGGTGGGGGGCCTCAGACTTCCCTTAGGCAAGGCTGTGGGCTTTTCTTTCTTGTTTGGTTGGCGGATCAGTCGGTGAATTGGTGAGTTGGTCGATTTACTCGTTGACTGATTGAGTGTGGTTAGCTGGTCGGTTGAGGGTGGGTTGGTTGTTGGGTTTGGTCTTGGTTGCGGGGAAGGTGTACATATTCGAATAAGGAGACGTCAGGCCCTGTGCTCACAGGAGTCGCATTTGGAACTCAGCAAATATTGCTTGGTCCCTGCCGTGCAGAGTGCCGGGGCCCCCGAGTGGCTGAACAGGTTTCTCAGACCCACCAAGGAGCTCACAGACTCACAGAGAGAACAGACAGTATAGAAACGGGTTCCTCAACACGGTATTTCTGTCCACTCAGGCATCTCTTTCCCTCTCGGCTGGCCTGACACCATTCCCCTGGTTTAATTGAGCCCGAAGCCCTAAGTGGGAGCGTGGAAGTCCCAGGCAACGGCCTCCAGGCAGGGCTAGAGCTGCCTTCCAGGAGCCAGGGGCGGGATCAGGGTCCTCCTTGAGCTTCCTAGGGCTCCTCTGAAGGCAAAATAGCATCAGATGAGGCCTTCTTGTGGATGAATGCACATTCCCCCCAGGAGGCACTCTAGCTCGCGTTCTCGGGTTAATGACCGAGGATGGGCAGGTGCCCAGAGTGCTGGAGCTTGGATGAGGGGTGGGGCAGGACACGCGGGCCCTAGCAGGCCCAGAACGGAGGTTTGGAGTTGCAAGCCCGGCAGAGAGCATAGGTTTCTTTCCTGGATGCTCAGCTGGCCCTGAGGCTGCTTGGTCCTGGCGCAGCGACTAACTCCTCCATTATGATTCGAGATCCCCCCACCACCACCAAAAAAGAAAAAAAGGCTTGGCGTTTTTGCTTTTCGTATAGCTAGGAGACCCTGCCCGTGGGTCTGTCCCCTACCGTCTTGTGTGCGCTGTGACCGTAAGGCCCTCTCCTGTCTCCTGCAGAAATGGGAGCAGATCGAGGCCAACTCCAAGCTGCGGCACGTGGGCAGCAACCTGTGCCTGGACAGCCGCGCGGCCAAGAGCGGGGGCCTGAGCGTGGAGGTGTGCGGCCCCGCCCTGTCTCAGCAGTGGAAGTTCACGCTCAACCTGCAGCAGTAGGAGAGCCCGCCAGGCGGCCCCCACCGGGCCCCCACACCGGCCGGCTGAGTTTGGAGATCCCGTTTTCGATTATGTTTCTTGAACTTTCTGCGAAACTATATACCTCAGTATTCCATCATGGTCGGAACGTCAGAGAACGTGTGCGAGGCACGGGGCCTGGGTGGATGCCGAAGAGGCTGGGAAAGAGACCCGCTCTCCTCGTCCCACGGGAGGCGGCTGGGCCCCCTTTCCGAGGCCACCCCCTCCCCCCGCCCACAGCCACCCCCCAGGGACGGCCGAGGCGTGGGCCCCAGCGCGGGGCAGGGAGAGCAGAAGGGGCATCGCTGCTGTGTCACCGTGAGGAACACTCTGGAAATCTCCATTTTTGATCCCATCGAAATCATGTCTGGTTTCTGCAATGGTGACCCGAGTCATTTTGCAGGATTACGTCGTACATCCCTGTCCCCGCTCCTCTGTTCCCGCTGTCTTCCCAGCACAGACCCCCCTCTTCCACACGATGTACTTGCTCTATTTGAATAGGAACTTTCTACGGTGGGACAGTAAGTATAAATATATATAAAAGAAAGAATGTACGGTCAGTTCCCTATGGTTTCTGTAGGTCGTCCTCATCTTGTAAATTCCCCACAAAGCAGTTAGTTCACGGCCATAAGGAAGAGGGACGGGGCCCTTTGGGGCGGGGAGAAGGTGGCCTCCAGCGCCTCCCCCACCCCGGAGCCCCACCAGTGAGCAGGTGCTACGGGGGCCACTGGGGGCTTCCCTGCCACTGGGCCCCAGGAGGCTGGGGTGCCAGGGGGCCCCTCCGTTGGCTTCAGCTTGTAAGCCACTGCTTGGTGTTGGAACCTACTTTCTGTGCCCTTGGTATCTGGAAACCAGGATGGGTTATTTTTTTTTGACAAACATTACTTTGGGTCTTTTTAAATTAAATTTTTTTTTTCTCTTAGGAAAAAACAAAAAAACAAAACCAAACCCAGGCTCCCAGCTCCCAGTAGGCGACATTAGGAAGCTGTCCTGGGCTGTCATGGGGCGAACTATGTGTGTCCCGTGAGCTGGTCCCTGGGCTCTGGAATCCGGCCTGCCCACGCCGTCCCTCCCTGGCCCAGGGGCCTGCTTTGGTCATGGAGCATTTTGGCAGGAGCAGGAGACTTGTGTGTTAGGAAGCAGATGTCAGTATAAACCACAAGCCTGTTAGGAACTAGAAGTCATGACAGGAAGAGATGCCCAGGAATGTCCCTACAGCAACCCCCCCTTGCCTTTGCGGTGGCCCCATGGTGACAGGGCAGTCCAGGCCTCCTACGGAGGGGCCCAGCCCTCCTTCCTTCTCCCTTTCCACATGCGTGCCCGGTCTCAGAGAGGCTGGCCACCCCGTGTGGTGGGACGTGTGTCAGAAATGCACCTCCTTGAGCCCCGAGGGGAGGGCCCAGGAGGTCACAGAGTGAGAAGTGGCCCCAGAAGATTCTGCTGGGTTGATAGTCTGCAAAGTGCCACTCTCTTCCCTGCCTGTTGCCCGTATCCAAAAGGGAGCGCTACCGTTTTTTCTTCCTTCATTGAAAAAAGCCCATGTGTGTTTGCTCTGGGTCACCGGGATCGGGCGTGGAGGCGTGGCTGGGGGACTGTCCTGCCCTCCTTTTGGCCTCTGCCCAGCAGGCGGACATACGCTCGGTGGACAGGGAGGCCGTGGCTGGGTTACCGCTGCACACCTTGTCTCAGAGGCCGGTGTTGACTACGGGGAGGCCTCGGAGAGAGGGCCGGGTACCCGTGCAAGGCTGTTGAGTGCAGGTGGGGCAGGACACAGACTCAGCCCAGGCACCTGGGTCCTCCTCTCAGACCCTGTCCCCTGTGAGCCACTGCCCGTGTTCACCAGAAAAATACCCCATGGCTAGCAAACACATTTGGCTTTGATGTGCAACAAATTTGAGTCGGGTCCTTGATGCATCCTTTCCTCGCACACCCCCACCCCACCCAGAACCCTCATGGCGCCTGTACCATCAGGACAGGCCCACCTGGCTCCTTCTGGGGTCGCTCCTCGACCCTGAGCTAGGGGTGCGGGGGAGTGGGCGCAGCAGCCTGGGACCCCGTGGGCCTTGTGATCAGAGGTGCGGCTGGGCGGGCTCCCTGGAAGTGAGCTATGTTTACAAGACAACAGTGTGCCAAAGTGACTTCCTGTGGTTGCGTATTTCTTAGTCAACAGGACGATCCCACCCTCCCACTCCGGTTTTTACAAGTACAGATCCTCTCTCCTAAGAGCCCTTTGAGCAAAGTGTGGCGAAGCTAGTTGTCCTCTCTGTGGTGGTCTTTCTTACGTCTTCATCAAAGCTAAAATGATGGTCTCTGTGAGTATGTTTTGCAAATTCAAAATATAGTTTGGTAATTTTTTTTCCAGTTGATTTTTAAAAAGAACTGCTGTACAGAGCTTGTACTTTGTCCATTTTATAGATGGAAACCATCCTTGAAAATTGTTTAACTTAAATAAAGAGAAGATACTTTATAGATAACACTCTCTGGCAACGGCTGCAGTCATTCTTGGTGCATTACTGGGGGAGGGAGGGTGACTAGCATCTGGGGGTGGTGGGGAGACGGTCTGTCTTCTCTGGGGCCCCCGACTCCATGACCATTTCTTTTTTTTTTTAAGATTTTGGGTTTTGGGGGGTTTTTTTTGACAGAGAGAGAGTGAGCACTGGGACACAAGCAGGGGCAGGCTTCCCACTGAGCAGGGAGCCCGATGTGCGGCTCGATCCCAGGACCCTGGGATCACAACCTGAACCAAAGGCAGACGCTTAACCGACTGAGCCACCCAGGTTCCCCTCCATGACCATTTCTTATCACACTTTTAAAAAGCATTCGCTGTTTACTGCTGGGCCCTCGTGGTGTTTATTCTTACTTGTAATACTGTTCCCGTCTGTGGAGTATTCGTGATGTGCCAGGCACGGAGCCAAGCCCTGGAATGCGTTCCCCGCGTCTGCTCGCAGTAACCTGTGCGACAGTGCGACAGGCTGCCTTCCACAGCTGGCCCCAGAGGCTGCTGCCTGAAGCCCTTAACCTCCTCAAGGTCAGGGGCTCACCTGCTCAAGGTCATCCACTCCTGAGTGCTCACCTGGAGTCAGCCTGGGGTCTGCTCGCCCAACTGGGCTGGAGGGAGGGGGCAAATATTTTCAGCGCTTTTATGGTATTTAAAATCCATACTTGTTTACCAGCTATGGGCCGCTTAGTGCCATCTGAGGCTGGCTGAGGTCCTTTTAAAATGCCTACCCTTGGGGTGCCTGGGTGGCTCAGTGGGTTAAGTCTCTGCCTTCCGCTCAGGTCGTGATCTCAGGGACCTGGGATCAAGTCCCGTATCGGGCTCTCTGCTCAGCCGGGAGTCTGCTTTTCTCTCTCACTCCCCCTGCTTGTGTTCCCTTGCTCGCTGTGCCTGTCAAATTAATAAATAAAATCTTTAAAAATAAATTAATTAATTAAAACTTGGTTCTCCTGACATCTGAGAAACCAAGAAAGCTCTTGTGCAATGTCCCTCAGAGTGCTTTAGGAGTGTGTGTGTCCGTGCGTGTGTGCGCGTGTGTGTGTCTGTGTGGTTCCTGCTTTGGCATCAGGAAAAAGTTTATTCATTCACTATTTATTGAGAAACTCTGTGTGGTCCTGACCGTCCTGAAGACCCAGCAGGGGAGGAAATATTCGACTCCAAGCAAGGGGACGGGGGCTCTGCAGGCTCCGAGTGGGGTCTTTGCAGAAACATGACTGGGTAGTTGAGTCAGGTGTGGGCTCCCGAATGCTCTGGAAGGAATTTCCGCTGATGGGGGTTGGGGGGGGCTGCTCTGTGAGCTCTGGCCTGGAGTGAACAGGATCCGATTTGCAACTTTTTTAATAATAAAGTGTGTAACCTGACCCAGCTGTTTGATTCTGCAGGCCACTCCACACTTTTAAAAAATATTAAGCCAGAAAAATAAAATCTCTTCTCATGCTCTCCTCTGCCTGTGGACCTACCTCAAAGAAAATAAGAAAATTCTCTTCTTAGACTAATTTACTGTTATTCCTAAGCAATTTACCAAAAATACAACGTGTCGGTATTTTGATATTCTGTATTATGGGTGCTGCAAATGATACACATCGTTTCCAAAAAACTGTGGGACCGGAGGGTCCCAAAGCCGTGATGACCGATGGCTCAGCAGCCCCTCCTGAGCCCCTGGGGACCCGCCGTGGGACAGGGCTGCAAAGTAGACCACGTAGGCCTCCCCCCAGGTTACACCCGCGGGGGAGCCAGACTCTGAACCAGACCTTGAATGCAGTTCAAGACTGTCCCAGAAAGGCGCAGGCCTCCTTAGTGCTGCGTGGACAACCGTCTGGGGGAGGGGTTCCCCCCGCCGGGGCCTGACACGTGAGAACCTTGGCGTGGCCGACGCGGGCTCACTGACGCACTTCCAGAAATGAGCTGTCCTGTTGCTCTGGAACTGGAGAAGAGTCTGCTGGAGCACTTGGAGTCAAGCGTGAGAAATCTCAATTACGTGCAGTTTAAATTAAAAGAGACATTTACTGTCTTGTATAACAAGGAATCCGAAGGTGACAGGGTTCCAGGTCAACCCCGGGGCTCGCCGTTGTCAGGAACAAAACGAACGGTTTTCTGCCTGACCAGCCCTGCTTCCACTCCTCGTGCGCAGGCTCTTTGTCCTGGCGTTCTCCCCTTCCTTCCTTCCTTTCCTCCTCACCCTCTCTCCCTCCTTCCCTCCTGTCTTCCTTGCCCTGCCTTCCCTTCTCCCTCCTCTTTTCCTTCTTTCCTTCCTCTCCTCAGAGAAGACACCTCTTTCCCAGGGAGCACCCCTGCCCCCCCAGACCTCTCAGGCCCCACAGCCCAGAAGCAGGCACTCGGGTGCTAAGCCATCTAGCACCTGTCCTCTCCTGGGGCCTCGTCCTCGATCACGGACGTGGGTCCTGCTGGCTAGGACAGGGAGGGACTAGCTACCCACTGGGCCACCCCCGCACCCGCCACATTTGCCATCCCTGAAAGAATTCTGGAAGCAGCTGGATGGGCCCGGGCAGCCCCGTGGTGGCGGGATTCCTGTATTCTCGCTGAGCGGTGGCTTCCGGGTCTCCTGATGTCTGCTGGCAACGGGGGGTTTCTTCTGAGGTTTTCAAATGAATGAAACACATGGCCTGGGATTACAGAGACGACTAATTAGACTGAGACACAATTATCAAAATATTTTTATAACGTGCTTCTCGGTGCATTAAATAACAAGGCCTCACATCTAATAGCTACCGTAATTTCAAATTTGGGATGAGCATGAACAGCATTTTGAAAAATCTGCCATAATTAATGTAATATGAAAATACCTGTGATTTTTCTTTTTTTTTTAATCTAAACTGGTGACAGAGTTCCCAGTTTTGTAATCATATGGAGGTTCGTGGAAATAAAGACGTCATTTTTTTTGCATCAGAGCTTCTGGACCCCCTGAATTCTAAGCACCTCAGTGTGGATGACGTCAGTGAGAGACGTCTGTGATCTGGGACCCTCCCTCAGCTGGAGGGACTCTGTCTCCTTGCTGCGACATCAGCTGGAAGTGGCCTGGGCGGCAGAGCGAAGCGGGGGTGGGGGAGGGCCGGACGTTGACCCAGACCTGGGTTCCCGCCCTGATTCCAAAGGCCAAGTGGGAAGAGGCGCCCCGTGAGCACAGACTTGGGCGAGCCGAGCGCTCTGAGACTCCTAGTCCCTCGTCAGTGCCTTGGGCAGCGGGTGGGCGAGGGACCCAGGAGGGGCTGCTGGTCCTCAGAATGTCCAAGCCCCGGTTCAACCTCTGACACACGGGCGATAAGGGGCTGGGATTTTTCTGACCAACCTCTGTCCCTGTTGGAGCCGCATGGGAAATTCAGGGAGCAGAAGACTGTCCAGTGAGCGAGGAGCAGGAATGAGGATTTGGTCAAAGTGCCCCTGATAAGAGAG